TATCTCACAACAGACCTGGTTGAACTCCACTGGTCACAGCTTCTCACTAGAACTTCAGGAGTATCTCTTGAAGTCAGTCACTAGTGAGCGGATGATTATTATCAGAAGGGGTTTTGTGGAGATTTTAGGAATCTCACTGATTAAAATCATGAGTCAATTGAAGCTAGACCACCATAGATAACCTGGAAGCACTGGACGGCCGTTTCGTGGTTCCAGGTTTTCCATGGTGGTCTAGCTTCAATTGACTCATGATCTCAATCTGTGGAATTCATATCTGTTAAACAAGTTAATGACTACTAGGCTGTATAGAGTAGTATATAACATTCATGAAATACTAAATAATGGATTCGAATCTCAATGATGGTCATATCAAGCTAATAATTTCTAACTTAGACAAAATTTGTGTTCTGTATTTCCATTACTATTTCGTATTTAGGAATATAATGAATTTATAAATACAATCAATAAATAAGGATCCACTAAAAGATCATACAGATTAATAAAGATCGATCGAATGTAGTTCAGCGAATCAGCAATAGGAAAACATAACTTCATAAAACACCAAATAAAAACTTAAATATCGTCTATAAATGATAAGGACGAATACTAAACTCCATTGTCTTATAGATCTATTATAGAGAACGAGAACACAGGCAAGAGATAATCGAAATGTATTTGAACACGATAGAATCACTTAGTAAAATCTAAGAACTAGATAGTCAAATGTCAGTTAATTGTTTCAGACTTCATCGTTCTTTCGTTTCCATACCACTCATTCACTGTGCTCGTTCTCTTTTCTTTAATCTTCTTAACTTTCTGCTGTCAAACATTTCAATTTCAATTGATGATACATACTACTTATATCTATTGACATCAGTAGCACATACCATATTATTAGTATAGGGAAAAGCTTAAAACAACAATGAAGAATTGTCAGTCAGTTATTATGCAATCAGTAAACAGCTTTTGTAAGTGGATAGCTTATTAGAAAGAGAACAATAATATACTATGAATTGAAGGAAATTTTTACATAAATTATAAATCTGTTGAAGTCTTCTATAGGTTCTTTTGTATGCAAATCGAAAATAACAATAGAGATATAACTCTTTATGAATATAGACTATTTCTTTTTTTGAGACCTTATCAAAGACCCATACTCATATTGTTTTTGATTAGGGTTAAGATGAATAGTTTATTTAATTACTTAAGCCTGTTACCTCTCGTAAGAGCCTAAGCCGCCGACTAGGATTCACCAACGAACACTATCCTGGTTTCTCTTTTCCAGTTGTTTTTAAATGTGATTCATTCTTTTGATGTTTGTTTCCAATCCCTCAGTGTAATGAGTTCTTTGGTCTTTTCTTTTAACATTAGAGATTCTAAACAACGGACTTATCTCGTAAGGGTTAAATTTTTAAACACAAACCGATATTAGATAAAATGTGAAAATGTACCGTGGCTTTTTGGATGAATGAACTGTTGAGTTGATCCAGAAAACTTCTCGCAAAAGCTAAGAAAGGCTCAGAAAACTCTAAGAAGCACTTTATCCAATCAGCGTTCAATAGAAGTTTAGCCAGATACACCAAGAAAGTGAAAAGTCATATGTAGAGTTTCGGATTGGCTGATTACTATACTGCTACTATGTTTAGTAGCATTTCAGAATTTTCGGGAAACCCAAGGACATCGAAAATACTATAAAAATCCTACATTTTATGTACTAAAACAAACATTTGGAGTAAAGTGCTTCTTGTATATTTTGCGCCTTTTCTCTCATGTTCAGGTCTCTGTGTAGTTCTAGCTTGGGGGTTACGAGAATAGTTTAGGAACCGTATATAGCGTTCAATTAGCAAGACTTATTATGAACCGCGTTTATAAAGTAGTGTCACTGAGTTAAGGTGTGTTTTAAGATTCTCATCATTCTGTGATGTAGCTTTTTATTTTTATTTTCAATGTTTTTAGCCCTATTCTGTTCGATATACTGTTCATTTTACGTGATTTTTGGATTCTGATCTAAAACTGTGAACTTGCGTTCTCGAATCTCATTACCGTTTCGTACCAGTATGAAACTCCTCAGCGAGGCACATGCATGACGAGTGGAGTCTAATCCATGTTTAGTGTGAGACAGTTATACACCTTAGACAATAGATGGTTTGCGCAAGATTATAGATTGATGAGACTTAGACATTAATAACGTTTGATATCAGCTCAGTGGTCTTGAGATTTAGCGTTCGCGTGGGAGACCGGAGATCTCCGGTTCTGAGGACAAGACGGCTGTCCAGTACTTGATCGAGAAGCTCTGGAGGAGATGGAAGGTTTCACGTATCTGAGTAGTATCATCGATGAACGTGAAGGATATGATGCAGACATAGAGGTGAGAATTGGCAAAACAAGCACAACATTCCTACAGTTGAAGAACATATGCAACTCAAAACAAATCGATAAAGTGAATGTAATTTGATTGATTACGTTGGATCAAGATTAAACAGCTTAATCTACTAAATTGATAATAGATGGGTAGGTAAAAGGACAGGACATAAGTAGTCTTTATTCACAGCATTCAAGTCGGAGTAATGAAATTACTGGAATAGAGCATGAATGTATCATAATATATTCGTTGATCAGATAAGATATCATGAAAGTAAAAATAGTCGTAAGTATTTACGAATGAATATGAATTGTGGTTAACCGATGTCTAAGATGTATATAAGCATAATTTGGTGAGGCTATAATTGCTGGATGACCTTTGAACAACGCCGAAGGGACCTTGAGAATGTCCAGCTACTTAGTAGGGTTAAATGATGATTATAAACCAAGTATGAAGAATTAGAATGATGATTTATAGTTGATGGTTAGGGTTAAGAATTACATTTACGGTTTTCATCATCACGAACTGACATCAATTATAATGCCAAGACTTTATTTAGTCAAATGAATGGATGAATTTGGTGCCAAAATACAAGATCTGTTATCGTAAATCTGATTGGTTTATCCATAAATTATAGTCTCGGCAAAAAGTGTAGTCACTGCATTTGAATATCATGAATAAATTGTTTTTGTATAACAAGGATATTAGTTTTCTTTGAAAAAGAAATCATATAAATGTTGAATGTAAACATTGATGTATCTAATACATGTTTGCATGTTAGTGTATTAAACCGTTTCGTCCTGGTACGTGATTCAATAGTGGGCATGCACAACCCTGGCTGCGGGATTCAAACTCAGGACCTTAGGTCTCGCGCGTGAACTCTTAAACCTTGGACTATTGAACCGGTATCCAAGGGTGTTAATGTTTGACTCCAACCAATTCAACTTATTTCAACAGTTTTTATTCGATTAATCTATCTACGGAATCTTTGGTACAGAAGCACTGATGTATTCAAAGCTCAGTGATTTGTGTACGAATTCAACTATTAAATTAATACAATCCGCACAAAACCGGCTTTCTGATAATAATCATCATGTGCTCACTAAGAACTATTTCCTGCAGTTTTGATGAGAAGCCGTGACCAGTAGATTTCTGTTGTGAGATAGTAACTCATTGAAGACAATGATGGATGTGTCACTCAATTTTATGGATTAGTTAAAGTTAGACATTAACACCATTCGATGCTAACCCACTCAGTGGTCTATAGGTTAAGAGTTTACTCGCGAGACTGATAGACCGTGGATTCGAATTCCACGTGCAGAATTGTGGATTCACATTGTTGAAGAGTCCCACATTAGGATTAAAAACAGACCTCCAATACTTCTAAGTTTTCTTTGATGGTCTAAGTTAAATTGACTCATGAATTCAATTATTATTAACCACTACAATCTCCATAAAACTCCCATTTTCTGATTTTATAGTGTATGTTGAATTTCTCTCTTTTTCTATTGAATTCAATGAATGTTTTGAAGAGAGTATACAGATAGATGTTAATAAATCTATGGGTATATATATATATATATTTGAACTTTAAAATAGTAGTCAAGGTGATCCATATATCCACATATGTATTTATCATTTGACGTCAGTTTCCACATCATTTACATTGTATCATAATAAAATAATAATAATCAATGATGAAACATTTACAAAATGGGAAAATTACATGAATTTTATTTAAATACCATTGGCTTATTACTTCATATATATATGTGTGTGTGTAACATTCCCCCCCCCAAAATGGATATGGACTGACCAAAATGGTTATGTGTATATGTATGTATCCATGTATGTATGTAACTATGTGTGTGAGTGTAGGTGTAAATGTGTGTGTGTGTATATGTGTATTGTGTATTATTCATCTAAATTATAGATCATTATAAATAAATGAATGAATAAATGAATGTATCTTCATTTATTCACCTGTACATATTTATAACCGGTACATGTAATATTTAGTCCCCGATGTGTGAAACATTTCGATTACTGAATGAATGAAGATAAAAATACAAAAAAACACAAAAAAAAACATGGAAGAACCTATAGATAGAAACATAACAAATTCATTTGAACCTCTATTAACCTACTAGTGATATTGTTTATTCTTTCTTTAAAAGAACAAGATTATCATTGGAAACCTGATTAATTAATTAATAATAATAATAATAATATAAGTAGTAATAATAGTCCATTGTATTATGTATGGGATTGTACAAGATTGGAAAAAGGTTACCATTATTACTATTACCATTACTATTATTATTATTATTTGTATCTATGGCCAAATAACGCCTACGCATTTTTAAAAATAATTCTTTAATTTGTTTGGTCGACATTTTCAACCAATCACAACAATCCATGATTGACCTTGAAATAGAAAACTATGTAAAATGATTTTATTCAAATATAAATTAGACACATTTTCATTCAATTGAATTATCCTAGTGATTATTTCACACACACAAAAAAAGGAAGACCATCTTAACCATAGTGATTATATTGTGGATTTATTATTGATTATTTATTGTTAATCAATAAATCAATTAAATAATAAATCATTATTGATTCATTAATAAAAATGGCACCAGGGAAATCATTAAATTTACGTGGTGGTTCAATTAGTCCAAGTGCAAAATCATATGAAACATCAGTGATTAAAGTTGGCGGTGAAATATTTGATCCAGATGGATATAGAATGGATGTGACTGTATGGTTTCGACATAGAAATGAAGCATTATATTGTAAGTAATAGAAAAAAAAGATTTTCTTTTTATATATGATCTCAGTTTTATTCTATACTAACAAGAAATGACTGTTAATTATATTGAATTTAATGATTGAGATCATGAGTCAATTAAGGTACTGAATGATCATTTCAACCGATTGTGGGACTACCTCAACAATGCGTATCTACAACTTCGCCTCGTGGGATCTGAAAGTAGGATCTATCAGTCTCGTGCGCGAACGCTTAAACTCGAGACTACTAGACTGGCCGGCATCCAACGATGTTGACGTATAACTTCAACTAATCCACGAGATTGAATGACACATTCATCATTGTTTTCAGTGAGTTATTATCTCACACCTGACCGGGTTGAACTCCACTGTTTACAGCATTTCATCAGAACTCCTGGAAATACCTATTGAAGCCAATCACTAGTGAGCATATATTGATTAGTATCAGGAAGGGTTTTGTGGATATTATAGTAATTATAATAGTTGAATTCATAAGTCAATTGAAGCTAGACCGTCATGGAACACCTAGAAGCATTGGACGATTGTTTCGTCCTAGTGTTTTTCATGGTAATCTAGCTTCAATTGACTAATGATCCCAACCGCTCAAATGACTATAACATCCACAAAATCCGTTTTGATATTAGTTATATGTTTAGGAATTTGAATAGTTCATAACTATTTAAAGTTTATGCTGATAATGCTTCTTGATCATATTATCAAAAGATAGAGAATGTTTGAGATGAATTCAATTGTGTAATTGGATTACCTTTTTTTTCTACTAAGGCATAAGTAAGGTAGAAAAACAAACTGGCTATTACACTGTCTCTACTTAAGCTCCATACTGTTTAGCATGACAAAAAACTTTAAGCATTTTCTGTAAAATTTACTAACATTCGATTTTGTTAGTGTAAGATGATGGTTGGAGGTAGTCAACGGGAAACCCTAGACCTAGGTTTCTTGCTATTTGGCACTCGTCCGTAAGGTTTACCTGTAATCTTTGAGGAACTAATGCCCCCGTTTCACTCAGCTTCACAGTCAGAATCGTTACCAGGGGGCTATCCGAGCCGCGACCGACTCCTGTAGGACTGAAATCTATTCGCAATTGATTGATCACCGGGTAGTGATCAATGTCATGTGTGTCAGGTCCTTCTTAGTGCACATCGAATGCTATCGTCCAAGTTGACTATCTCCAACCACAACCTTATCTCAACGTAGAGCACAAAATATCGAGTCACCTAGACTAGTGGCCATATTGCAACATGGTCGGTAGCATTCGACCTGCACTAAGAACGACTTGACACACAGGACATTGATCACTACCCAGTGATCAATCAATTGTGAATATTGTTGGTGTCATGTACGCATAAACCAAATCCAAATAGATCATACATATGTATATTTATTTAGAGGGGATATAGATGATTTATGAAATATATTCAATCCTCCACTTGTATCTATTGTGTATTCTACAACTTAAACTGGTTGTGAACCATCTTTTATAATTTCTCTTGTGATCTCACAAGTATTCCGTAATCACTATGCTTTGAGCTTCCGAAAACTCCGGTCTTCGAGTGTCGATCTTAGCAATGCCCATGTGTTACCCCTTTACATACTACTTATAATCAATCTTGTAAATAACATCCATAACATTAGTATATTTAAACAAACTGGAATATATAACCAAAGGATTTAGTTCGGCTATCAATTTGTGACCAAACCATTAGAGATTAAAGCAAACATTAATATAAAGTTCACTTGGTATAGTTTTGATTGAATCTTCCCATTGAGGTTTAAGACTGCAATTGATTAGTCACTTATTGGCATATATGAATCCTTGTGTAGATTGTCTCAATATTGCCTTCATTCACAAGCATTCTAAGCAAAGATGAATAATAGCTAGCAGTAGAATCCATGACACGCGTTTAGTCCTCTTTGGGACTCTTCAGTTAGGACGTGAACCGAGTATAATTCGCCTCAAACGCCATCACGTTATCGATTCATCTACCGTGTCCTATAAAGTATAAAGATTTCACAGTTTCCACAACTACTTACAAGAACCATATAAATCACCATAAAGTACTTCTTTATTAATGATAATCACTGTATAAATTGAATGTATTATTCAAAGATTGGATCAGTTAAATAGATTCAAGTATATAAGACTTCAATTAGTTTATAAGATAAACATGTAATGTCAGTGGATAGTCAACGAATAAACGGTTTATTTATTAAAATAATATTGAAGAAGAAATCATTGACTAGTTAGGTCTATAGGTGAAAAGCTACTTTCTTTTTCTATTAATTAAATATCAACATTAGATAGTAGTGGTTGAAGTCACTAAGTTCTAGTCATTGACTAAAGCGGTTGGAACATATTTCATGTATGCATAACCCTCTTCCTGTTTCGACTGGTAACGTTGTTTGATATAAAAGTAAGTACTATGAAAACAACCCAAAATGTGGCATTATCCCATTAAGTCGTTAATCGTTAGTCTAAGTTGTGTTGGTAGATCCAGACTATTAACTTGGGGGGAAGCCAAACCAAAACGTGGCATCAGTGATTGAAGTCACTAATTTCTAGTCTGAACCATATTCGTGGTAGATGCAAACTATTTAGTTGGGGTCCGCGTGACTATCGTATTTAGTGGTTGGAGACTCTTGGTGACATGGCTTAAAATCGATCACAGTGGTATAGGTGTATATACACTTTCTGTCTTCCTTTAAACTATGAGATTAAAATCGCTTCATATCTTTCTTTCTACATACTGAATCTTTCTTCTTGTACTATATCCTTATATGCAATCTTTCTTTTATAAATTACCATCATTGAATTAACTACTTCTATTAATCCAGTGTTCATCTTGTTATGCCAAATAGGTATGGCAACTTAGACCGATGCATATATATGCCTGGTCCTACGTTTTACCTGACTGACTGACTGACCGGCCGATTGATTGACTCTAAATTCAACTCTTCATTCATAATGTTCAATAAACGGAATAATCTTATTGGTTAAACAATTTTATTGTTAACTCAATGCTTCGTTCATTATTTTAGGTTATCTTACAAATGAAAATAAAAATCTCTATTATAATGAACAGTAATGATATTTTACAATCATCGATCCAATGTTGTATTAATCCAGATTGATATGTCTTGTCGATTGAATGCTACTTCTTATATCTGGTCATCGCTGATTGTTATGTCACAATCACTTATCACTTATACTCAAAACGAAAGACCTCTGCAATTGCCACGACGTGAAACTAAGAACACAAGGACTAGTATAAGTGATGATTTATTAACGTCAAAACACAACAACAACAACCAGATATAACAAGTAGCGTTCAATCGGCAAGACATATCAGTGGCAACGGGGATGGAATTCTTGGGGAGAATAAAATCGGTGTAGCGTTCATGTTCAGCTGTGCCAAGTTTGCGTAACAGTACTTTGAACTTTGCGGTATCATCAAATTTTTCTAGGTCGACTTTAAATACATCTTCGTATTTCTTGAACCATAATTCAAATGTAACACCAGCCAAGCCATCAAAATGAAATTCATGGATAGAATTAATAGTATGGTTGACATGAGATTTGAACGGAACATCTGTAAGCCTCTTTTGATTTGGGTTCATTTACTAGGTTAGTGGTTCTAGAATACGAGTTGAGAACTGTTCGTAACCTTTTTCTTGACGCTCTAACAAGGCTTAAAATTGGGTAAAAGTAAATGACATCTTGATAAGTTAACCCCGACGCCAGTTGTTATATGTAGAGCTCATATTCTTAATATACTGCTTACGATTTGAGTACTAGAACGCTGGAACACTCTCAAGTTGTAAATGAGAAGACAAAAGACAATTGAAAGGAATGCTGTTCCAGACAGTGTCAATTATGGTACAAAACTGTCAGATATTTATAGTTTTTAATAAAAACGAAATCATCATTATAGCCCTTCAATCCGTCTACAAGAGGTTATTAACATTTGTCCAATAGGGAAGCTACATGTAGGGATTCTGAAATATTCTTCGACAAGACAATTGGATGGAATATCTTCGTTTGATATACAAACTTCATATACGCAGTCTTTCAAGCGGTTACTGATTGAAAAGACTAAGAGTAGAGTAAGAAGTTGATTGTGAAAAGGTGAATTATATACACCATGGCTGTCTTATGTATATAGGTATATATCCTTAGAGAATGAAGCGATTTATTGCCTAATAACATGCATTATGGTCTTTTCATTCAGTAACTTTTGACTAGCCCATTGTTACTTACTTACTTACTTACACCTGTTACTCTTAATGGAGCATAGGCCGTTGACCAGCATTCTCCAACCCATCCGGTACTGGGCCATCCTTTCCAGTTCCGTCCACTTGTTATTCATTTTTCTCATGTCTATCTCCATTTCTTGACGTACTGTGTTATTTGGTCTTCCACTTCTCTTTTAGCCTTGAGGATTTCAAGTGGTGGATTGTCTTGTGATGTGGTTGTGTGCTTTCCTTAATATGTGTTCTATCCACTTCCGGTGCTTCTTCCTGATTTCTTTCTCCGCTAGAATCTGGTTTGTTCTCTCCCACAATAGGTTGTTGTTGATAGTGTCTGGCCAACAGATCTGAAGTATTTTGCGTGGATAGCTATTAATAAACATTTGTATCTTTTGGATGATAGCTTTCATAGTTTCCCAGGTTCCCGCCCCATAGTAATCTTAAAACTTTCCCAGGTTCCCGCCCCATAGTAATCTTAGAGCTTTCCTATATATGTATATGTTATATGATATATATTTGTACTGGTTTAAGTATATTGATTATTTCTTAATCAATAACAGAATCGTTTTGTTACACATTCTATCAATAGCCAATGATGAATTGGTTTGTTTTATTAAACAGAAACATTGACCATGATTTATGGTTATTGGTTCAGAAACAACAACAACAACAAAAAGGAATTTGAATCTTTAAACAATCTTATCATGTTAGATGGTTAAGTGTATCAAAAGTTACTAAT